GTTCAGATCCTGTACACGCACAGTACATTGGAACAAATGTCGGAGGCTCTGCGTTTGGAGGGAGCCTCTCCCTGTGTTGCCCCACATATCGACCAACCAGTTCAAAGACAATTTATGAAGGCTTCCAAAGCGCAGATTGGCATCTTCAACGCAGTCAAACTGTCGCCAGGTTCTGGCTGTGAATTGTTGATAAATCCAAATTATTGTCAATGCATTGCTTGTAGCATTTTAGCTAGGTCTCTGGCTTTGTGTTCTATTTTCAGATTGTAGCGCATGAAGTTCCTAAAAGGCGTTGCGCCTGTGCAAGCTTTTTGATTGCCACTTGGTTTGACTTTGGTTTGAGCAAGTGTCTACTGCAGGTGCTGAAGGTGGGCCAGTCACTCCTGCGTACCACATCTACATCGAATTGCCATTGCGCGGGCGCCTTGATCGTGACCAGTTGCTACGAGCTCTGAAGAGCCTTGAGGAAACCCACGCGATCTTGTCCGCAACCTTTCAGTGGGATTACCCGAATCTCTATATGGTGCCTCGTCCAGGTCGTTTTTCCTTGGGTGAGGTGCTCTTTCCAGCTTCAGAACATTCAAGGAAAGAGATGGCCACTTGCCTTCAGGAGTTCATTCAACAAGGCTTCGACCTGGAGCGTGGGCCATTGTGGCGTGCACAACTTTACCATGTGAGAGAAGACTTCCATGTTTTGGCCCTTGTGATTCATCACATGATCATTGATGGTGAGTCCGTGGACATCTTGATGGATGACCTTGCGAGGGCCTACAACGGGTGTCCCACCGACAAGGGTGTGAGCGGTTCTCACACCTTCGCAGATTTCGCTTCAAGCCAGCTCTCGAGCTTGGAGTCCGACGCTGCAGCTGAGAAACTAGAGTTTTGGAAGCAAGAGTTGGCAGAAGTGCCACGTACATGGCTGACCTCAAATTCTGCTGGTGTTTGCAAAGAAGCTGGCCGTTTCACCGCAAAGTACAGTGGCGTTACCCATGACGGTGGAATCCTAAGGAGCGCATGGTGTTGGCTACTTCATGACAAGTGTCAACAAGAGGATCTCTTAACTGCAATGACTTCGTCTCACAGGTATGAAGGGGTCCAAGTTGAGGAAGGCCTCGTTGGCTTGTATGTGAATATGTTGCCAGTGCGCACAAGAAGGCCTTGCGCAACCGACAGACAGGCTTTTGTGCGATCGGTTGAGAAGTTTCGCTTGGCTAGCCTTCAGAACCAATTGCCCTTCGAGTACTTGCTGCAGAAGCTGGTCGTGCGCAGGGAGCCAGTGCAGAGTCACCCACTGTTCCAAACTCTGTTTATTCTGCTTGATGACCCGAAAGAGGATCTTGAGTTGCAGGGCTTGGAGAGCATTCCCCGCTTGGTAGCTCGGGGTGTCACGACGACGTTTGCCAAGTATGCAGACCTCCACGTCGTCCCCAAGTTTGAATTGACACTGCGCATCGATGTCCTGCCTGACTGCTTACACTTGAGCTTCGACTTCGCGCAGGATGTGTTCGATGAAGGCTATGTGAAAGAATTGGCCAAGGATTACATGAGGATTGTTGTCGAGCTCCAACAGGCAAGGCATCAAAGCATAAATTGAGCCGACTTGCTTACCAATGTTTCCTGCTATGCTAAGTCTTTGTTTGCCACTGCAGGCAGTGCAAGGCGCTTCCTGCGAGCAGGACGGAGCCACGGTTGGCTGGAACTGCATTCCTTGCGATTGTTCTTGTATGTTCTTGTAGCGTCCTTGCTCCTAGTAGCGATGCCCTTGTTCCAGTAGCTTTCTTGTTCCTAGTTTTTTGCCAAGAGCCCTTAGTAGCGTCCGATCGCTCCTAGTAGCGTCCTTGGTATGGTTGTTCTGCTTCGATACTTCACTCATTTAATGAAAAGGAATCGATTCATCGAGCGCAGTCATTGTGATTTCCCTCATCCATCCATTGATAGACCAGCTGGGTAGGCGATGATGAAAAAGTGCCTTGCATCGCATCTTACGCCTGCAGTTCCTTGGCTACACAGATGTTGTCACTTCAGAGTTTGCTGAGAGAAGAGCTAGATAAACAACATTGACAATGTTGAGAGTGTTGGGCAGCAGTTTGGACACCAAGGACCCAAGCTGCAGTTTGTCTTCCTTGCTGACAGCGTGGTGTGACAAACGAAGGCTGGTGCGGCAGTCTTTACAGGATCTGACATGCCCATAAGTCATGCCGAAACAGCATGAGTCAGGCTTCCTGTCGAGGATCCTTTTGCCGAATTTTCCTCCGCCAGGCCACAGGATGTTGCAGTTCGACATGGGGAAGTGGTCGCTGTATCTACAGCGGAGCTTCTGAGCCACTGTCGGCACTTGATTCGGAAGCTCCACACTGTGACGGGTGGCGGCGCTGTGGCACTGCTGCGGGTTGCACGCAGCGTGGACTTGGTCGTTGCGGTCCTCTCATGCCTGCTGGCAGGCCATTGTTAAGGTAAACAAGTTTCGTGTCGTCATTGGATCTTCAGAAGCTGTTTGATTTTTTCGCCCGAGTCGAGTTACAGTGCATGGAAATAAGCATTGTACTAGCAGAAATGAGCCATTGACAGGTGTCCCATTTGTCCCCATAGACGTGAAGGCGACGCCTGTCGAGCGGGCCAAAATGATTTCACGAGATTGTAAGCCTGGGCTTCTTCTCACTCAACGAGAGGTTGCTGTCAGTACACCTTTAGAGATCCATGGAGTTCCCTCCATCTATGTAGAGGAGGAACGACCTGACTATGGCAGCGGCAACCAAAAGCACACTTTTGAACCCTTTGAAGATGACACGATGCTGGCCTATGTGATGTACACATCGGGTTCAACGGGGAAGCCCAAAGGTGGGGCCCGAAAACAGCTTCTTAGAGCACCCTAAGCAACGCACATTAGAATTGCTTACTTGTGTCCTTGTTAGGCGTCCAGATCAGCCGTGCAAACCTCTGCAGCTTCCTGGAGACCATCATGGGCTTTCCTGAATTGGCCAAGTTGGACAGCCAATGCAAGTGGCTTTCCCTTACTAGCCCGGCTTTTGACATTTCCTTGCTGGAGTTTTTGTGTCCAATCCTTATGGGTGGAGAGCTGGTGCTCGCGTGCGATGAGGCAGGCGAACGGTGCTTTTTGGCCCAAACCGGGGATATTTCTTTCTGCAACCTTTGCCTTGTCATGGTGATATGGTGATATCGTAGGATCATCGCTGCAAATTACGAGAAGTGATGGCTGTGTGCACACGATTTCGGTCTTGGTGCAGAAGAATAGTGAATTGAAGTGAATTGTAAGGAATTTCAACGCTCCGAATCTCCCACGGCTGGCCATTCTGAAGCTCCCACCAGCGTCCTGGGACAAGGTGTGTGTCAGGAGGACAGCAATAATCCGCAACTGCAATGGCAACAGCAATGCTAAGTGGCAAAGACAGCAGAAAAGCCACCGCCCAATAGCAGCACCACTGACAAGCTGCATGCGCAATAGCAGCAACAGCCTAACGCAGTGACAAGCCACAGTGGCTACTGCGATGACAAGCTGTATATGATGACATCACTGGTCAATCAGCAAACATGGTCTTGACCAGCCACAATAACAACAGCAGCAACAAACGGGTTGCGAACATTTGTTGCAATGCATGCTAGCAATGGCAAGCCATCCTGGCAGAATCAGTGTGAAGTCTCTCCTTGGCAACAGCAAGTGAATACCGCAACAACAATAGCGCATGACAAGACCACTGAGAAACCAAAATGGCAGAGGGCAAGTCAAGCCATAACGGGGTGCCGCCAGCAACAGCAAGGATGGCACAATGGCAGCAGCGATAGGAAACAAAACATATTGACTATTGACACATCAATGACTGGCCTCAATGACAAGGCCAGCGACCAGAGGTAGATGATAAAGCACAAGAGGAGTCAAGTCAAGTCTATTTTTTCTGTATCCTGCACAGACAACTAACAGGAGCGCAGGTAGGTTGGGAGGCCGTTGTGATGTGCGTAGCAGTAATACCCGCCGCACTGCAGGCAGTGCATTGCGGGCATTGCTATTGGTGTGGAGAGTCTTAGGGTTCAGCTTAAAACTTCGACATTCAACAGAAAAGATGTGACAATTACTTGGCATTCAGCTGAAACTGTGACTTTGGAGGCAAGGAACGATGGTCACCGATTGCTTTATGAGATTGAGAAGAGTGGCAGTAACATCTTACAATTGACTCCAAGCGGATGGTTGCAATTGCCTGAAACCTCAGTGAAGTGGGGACATCTTCAACTTGGCCTTTGTGGAGGTGAACAAATGCCTCCAAATTTAGCTCAACGCTTTCGACAAAGAGGACCCAACATGCTGCTTCACATGTATGGCCCGACTGAGGCCACTGTTTGGGCCACAGCCTCCAGATTCCTCAGCCTTCCCACTAAGGGTGCAGAGCGGATTGTTGGATCGCCCATGCTGAATACAGTAGCTTTCCTGGATGGGCAGGAGTTGTTGCTAGCAGGCCCTGCAATCGCGCAAGGCTATTTCAATGAGCCGGAGCTGACTGAGCAGAAGTTTCGTCAGTGTCCTGATCTGCCCGGTCATAGGATGTATGCAACTGGAGATGCTGTCAAGCGTACTCAGGATGGGCTGCTTGAATTCCTCGGCAGAATAGACTCCCAAGTGAAACTTCATGGCCACAGAATTGAGCTTAGTGAGATTGAGTGCTGCCTTGCTGAACATGAGTCTGTTCACCAATGCGCCGTGGTTGTTGATCCTGCTTTGCCACGCTTAGTTGCTTTCATTGTGCCTGTCACGAACTTGGCTGGAAATGTGCGCGCCTTGGATGAAGCAAGTTTGCGGCAATTTTTGGCCAGCTGTCTTGAGACATATAAGATGCCAGCTGAATTCCGCTCAATACAGAGCTTGCCTTTGACCCCAAGTGCGAAGGTAGACCGTCAAGAGTTGCAGGATTGGCTTCAGCCTCCATGTGCAACGGCAGTCACCGTGGATCAATTTGACAGGAGGAAGACAGTGTTGCAACAAGTGCTGGCATCGTTGTTGCCGCATGTCCAATTGGGTTTGGATGACAATTTCTTTGCTTGTGGCTTCACATCTACCATGGTCATTGAAGCGCACCGACGCCTTCAGCAATTGGGGGTAGCAGTCTTGCCTCAGCAGTTTTTTCTCTTCCCGACTTGTGCGAGCCTCCTAACCGAGTTGAATACTAGTTGCACCGGGTTGCAGCTTTCCGCCTCACAAACCTTCCAAGCTGTAGGGATAGAAGTGGCCGGATTGTCCCTACGCGCCGGCAAATCCAAGTTCTATAATGAGTTCTGGAGCAACTTAGCGGCTGGGACTGATTGCATCACCGATTTCACTGACCAAGAGCTCCAGGGCATGGGAGTTCCAGAAGCAGACTACAGTTCGCCGATTTTTGTAAGGAGCAAAGGTGTTGTCGACGACTTCGCATGCTTTGATGCGACTGCTTTCGAGATGTCGAATCAAGAGGCTCAACATTTGAGCCCAAATTTTCGATGCTTCCTCGAGGGTGCAGCCCATGCATTGGAAGATGGTGGCTATGACCCTTTCTGCTGGGGCCGGCAGAAGATAGGCGTGTTTGCTGGCATGGGGGACAACAACTACTTGACTGGAGGTTTCGCTTCTGCCGAAGACACGGTTGTAAGCTTGGGCAACGACAAGGACTTTTTGGCCGGCCGTGTGGCCTACCACTTTGACTTGTGTGGTCCTGCTTTGAATATTCAAACGGCCTGCTCCACAGGCTTGGTTGCAGTTCTTGAGGCAAAGGTAAGCATGGAAAGGGCCAGTTTGGAGGCAGCTTTGGCAGGTGCTGTATCGTTGGCGCCCTTCAGTCCTGGCTATGTTGCTGCTGAGGGCTTGCAGTTCTCCCGGCGTGGTCGTTGCCGTGCCTTTGCAGCGGATGCTGATGGCATCGTGGTTGGCCACTTGGTGCCGGTCATGCCTGCAGTGGTCTTGTTTCACTTTTTCTCCTGCTGCCTTAGGTTTAATACATGAGGAATGGGCCAAAGATTCGCTTCATGGGTTTTGCAGCCATGTGGCAGTAACCAGCGCAGATCATTAGCAAGCATCCATGCAGACTCTACACATGGCCGCAAATCAACGCAACATTACTGTCACTGTAACCCAGCACAGATTGCCGCCAAAAAATTTGCAGAGGTCGTTAGAAAACGACAGCTGATGCATCATGTCTGCTTGGTCAATCTTTGATGAATGATGCAGAACCTCTGCTTGGCCATGTTCGTCCCGTTCTGACTGACAGATGCGAAGGGAGGCAGCGCAATGACCAGAGTGCTAGCGGCCGAGGTCTGAGCATCAGGGATGCTCGCTGCTGCACATCCACGCAAATAGCTGCAGCAACTGCCTCATTAAGGCGTCACTAAGAGCCACTTGATATCAGCGCCACTGGCAGAGCAAATCGCCCACCCCTGCCACCAATCTCACTGTGCGCGGCATGCTGCAAGAATTACCGCGGTTCATTGCGTAATGCCATTGACAAGTCTCGCCTACGGTTTGTGTAAGAAATGCCTTGCCGTTCGGTGGTTTGTGTAGGGTCATAGTAGATTTACATCCTTTCTGTTTAGACCAAAGTGAACGAATACTTTGGTCAGTTTCAATGGTTTGATCTTGGTGCCCCAAAACATATTTTGCAAAGAGACATCGTCAAAAAACATCGCTGGGACACGTTCTAGATTTTTCATGACCAGGGTTGTTAGTAGAACACTTGCCACTCTTTCTGTTGTAAACCTGAGAAATTCGAACAGGTGTCCTTTTTTGTGTCTAAGCTTGCAGCAAACATTGCAAAACGATACGGGTCACATCAAGCTACGAGTTCTTGCCACATGTCCATGAGCTGTCGGGGTGATTGGAGGCAGTAACTCAGTAGCTGAGGTCAAGGCGTTGCAGTAGTGCTGCTGAAGGCAAATGGAGCGGCACATTGTGCTCTTCGAGGTGGTCTGGTCAATAGTGACGGCAGAGCCAAATCTGTCTTCCAACATCCATCCCAGCTGTCACAATCCACTCTCCTTGCAGAGACCTGGCAGCGTAGCCAAGTGGACCCGTGCCAGCTTTCCATGATAGAGTGCCATGGTACAGGAACACGGATCGGTGATCCGATTGAAGTTGGTGCATTGGCAAGCGCTTTCGGCAAATTTGGACCGCCAACAGGTTCCAAGGTGATAGCCTCGGTGAAGAGCAATGTGGGGCATGCTGGGGCTGCAGCTGGAGTCATCGGATTTATAAAGACTTGCCTGGCCTTGAAGCACCGTCTCATTCCTGCATCGTTGCATTGCAGGACGTTGAACCCTGACCTTCCCTTGGGCAAGTGTTTTGTTGTGTCGCAGGAATTGCAAGGCTTCCCCCAAAAGGAGACACCATGCGCAGCCGTGAGCTCCTTTGGTTTGGGTGGCACAAATGCACACGCAGTGCTGGAAGCCATTGGTGAGGCTGCAGAAACTGAAAGTCGTCGGGAACCAACTTCATTCCGGAGAGATGTATTTTGGCATCCGCAAATCGAGAAAACCATAGGAGTGGGCCACGGCTATCCTTTCTTCAGCTCAGCCCATCCAGTGCTTGGAGAGGCTCCCTGGGTCAATGGACAGAAGCTCTACCCTTGCAAGCTGAATCCTCGTGATGACCGGGTGGCCTTCCTTTGGCAACATCAGGTGAACGGAAAAATTGTTTTCCCAGGGGCTTCTTTCCTTGAACTCTTTCTGGAGGTGGGGCATCGTCTTGGGTTTTGCGAGATTTGCTTGCAGGAAGTCGGTTTCGAGAGGCCGCTGGTCCTGAGTCAGGAGAATTGTGAATTTTACGTGGCACTCGACATGGAATCTGGGGATGTTGAGAAGGGCAAAGTACGGGCTACAAGTTTGGATGGACAGACAGTTTTTGCCAGAGCTGTAGTGCAGCGTGGTGCGCCTCTGAAGTCCATGCCACATCATTCTGAGGAGAGAGCATTTGTTGACGTGCTGGAGGCCTATCGGAAAGCTTCCTATGGCCCGGCTTTCCAGACTGTGCAGCACATGGAAGCTGGAGGGACCACCGCAACTGCAAGACTTGCTGTGCAAGATGGAGGTTTTCAGCGCCCTGATTTTCGCTTTGAGCCAACCCTTTTGGATGGAGCGTTTCAGATCATGCTCGGCAAGTCAGCGGGGGAAGTGTGGCCCCGCTCTGTCAAGTCAGTCCACTTCGACAATGGCGGTGGCAAGGCGTTGCGTGGCGCGGAAGCGAAAGCTGAATGGTACCACAGCTTGGAGGGATCGGTGCAGCTTTTTGACGAAGATCAATGTGTCCTCCGCCTTGAGTGCTTGCAGTTCAGCCGCAAACCCCGCAAGCCACAAGTCGGTAGACCTGGCCTTGCTTTTCAGGGCACGTGGGATGATGCTCCCCTTCCTGGACGGGGTTTTAACGGTGGCATGGAAACGTCTTGCGTAGCGTTTCATTCACAAGGAAGGAGCCTGGGCTTGCTGGGAGAGCTGGGCAAATTGTGTGACGTGAAGCTGGTTGGGTTGGATAGTGGACTTGTGTTTGAGAAGGATTTGTTGGAGCTCCCTACCAATGCCACTCTTCTATTTTGTGTGAGTTTGGAGTGTGATGGATCGGACGACTTGTCCCAGCAGCTTGCGGCGTCCTGCCTTTGCCTTCTGAATCTTGTGCGCGCACTTTTCCATGAGAAAGGTCAAAGAAGCCGGTTGCTTGTGCTCACCAGGTGTGCTGCCGAGGTGGCTGATTCTGCGATGCCACTTCATCTTTCACAATCAGCCTTTGTAGGTCTCAGTAGGGCCATTCAACGTGAATGCCCGCAGTTGACTGTCCTTCACATTGATTTGGATGCGATGGAACCTGCTGAGGACGCCAAATTGCTGGCGCAGGAGCTTGTGTCGGACACTGAACCAACAGAGCTTTCCATTGCCTATCGGAGAAGCCAGCGTTATGCCTGGAGACTGGGCTTCGCTGACTTGATGGAGGGGCAAGAGAATATGCCCCTGCTTCAGGGGACATACATGATCACTGGCGGCTTGGGTGCCTTGGGGTTGGAGATTGGAGAGTGGCTAGGCAAGCAAGGAGTCTCTGAACTTATCCTGGTCAGCCATCGGGAAAAGCAGTCCAGTTCAGTGCATGGCAAGCTTCGCAACATGGACCAGCTCAACTGCAAGGTGTCCATTGAGCTCAGGAATGTTTCCCAGCGAGACCGTGTCGATGAGCTTTTCAACAAAGTTGGCAGTCGGCTGACTGGCATTGTCCATGCGGCTGGCGTTCTGTGTGATCAAAGATTGTTTGATGTGAGCATAAGCACCTTCAACAGTGTCTTTGACCCCAAGGCAGTGGGGGGATACTTGCTTCATGCTGCTTCTCGGTTGCGCAAGCCTCAGCTTGAACATTTTGTGCTCATGTCCTCAACTTCCTCTGTTCTTGGTTCTATTGGTCAAGCTTCGTATGCGGCTGCAAATAGCTTTTTGGATGGCCTTTCGGCGAAGCGACGCCAAGAGGGCCTTGTTGCGCTCAGCATCAATTGGGGTCCATGGGCCGAAGTTGGCATGGCCGCAAAGTCAAAGTTGTTGCCTGGCATACAACACCTGCCAGTGCAAGATGCGTTGGAGGCTTTGGGTCAGGCCTGTTTGCAGTATATCGTTTTGTTGAAACTCATGTCAAGAGCACAGCTTTGGAAGAACATGCAATTCAGTGCAACGTGCTTCATTTCTGCTGGCAGGTGCTTCAGTTGCCTCTTCCCCAAGTCGTGGTTGCGGATTTGGACCAGCGGATGCTGTCATCCAAGGTTGCTTGGGCTGAGCGCTTCAAAAGCCACCACAAAACAAAGGCTGGCGTATGAAAGGGATTGAAAGACAGTAGCAACAGTTTTTTGCACAGTGACATGATGGTGTCTAGCCTGGTCTAGCCCCATTAGTTCATCAGGAATTGTTGTGTTGCTGGGTCGGTTCTTGTGTGAGCGTGTGTGTCACTTGCCTCGCAATCTGCTGTCATGTCCAGCTAACTCTGCTCATGTTTCACCGCAGTTTGCAGTGCGTGTTTGCGTCTTTGGCTGTTGATGCTGTCCCAGTGCTGTCCCAGCCCCCAGATGGATACACAAACTCTATTCTCTGTAGATTTCGGACATGAGCTTCCCAAAGGCCAAGGTCTTACTGGACACTTTTTATCCGAATGGCGAAAGGTGAAATTCAAAGAGTGGCCCTGTCAAGGCAAGTTCCGAAATGGCACAGAGGAGTTGCTGTCAAAACTCAACCGCGCAAGGTGTCAAAGAGACATACTCTTGACTAGTGGCCCAACTGGAAACGAAATCAGTCTCAGCTCTCTGAGCGATCCTGCTGTGGTAGTCGCGGTCCGATTTGGACGTTAAAGGAGGCTTGGCTAAGGAAAGAAACAGAGCCTGATTTATGGCAGACAAGCCAAGTAAGGGGACAATCAACCTATCGAACTCAAGCAAGAACTTGTGTACCAAAAGGGAGGAAATGTGACGAACCGCTGGAAGACTTACAAAAAAGACTAGAGGAGGATTTGGCCAAGAAAGGGACGGTGCTCACAAATGCAGAAAGACATAACCAGACAAAATAGATAAGCTAATCGAGACCTTGTGCAAATCGGAGCCCACACTGGCGAATTAAGTGAGATCTTGTGTGAGCAACCACTAAAATTCTGATTTGCTCTTGCCAAATGTGTTGTCAGGTGTAGCGTTTTTTGTTGTGGCATGCACCCAGGGGTAGGATGTGTTGAAGCGGATGTGTCGGACCCGATTGTGTTTTTCGAACGGGTGCATACGGGTGGTCGTCAGCTTCCGCAGGTTAAACTTGTTTCGTTTCCGGTCCTCCTGGTTCCGGTCCTGTTGGTGGCGTGTGTATTGTAGGCTGGTGCTGCTGGGGAAACCCCGCCAGGTGATCCTTGATGACGCGCATGCCTTGCGGTCGTTTCTGGTGGCAACTGTGAAGGAGATGACAGGTGCGTGTGAAGTGGACACAACGACGAGCTTTGCTGACCTTGGGGTTGATTCACTGCACATCATTTTGCTGGTGCACAAAATCCGAGACGAAATGATGTTGACAGTCCAGCAGCTGGATGAGACCACTTTGTATGACAGCAAGTATTCCACCATTGATGGGCTCACGACATATTGCCTGCAAGTTGGCCAGCAGTCCGTGGTGGCTCAGTCCGTGGCTTGTCCCACACCGCAAAGTACCTCTTGTTTTGTGCAGGCTGTTTCGTGCGAGTACCCTCGAGGACTCACAGACATGCGAACTCTTTTTGATTTCCTCATGTCTGAAAAGGATGCAGTTTCTGAAGTTCCAGTGTCGCGGTGGGACATTGATTCATACTATTCAGAGGAAAAGCAGCCTGGTTTCTTGTACACCAGACATGGTTCCTTTCTTGCTCGGAATCCGTTTGCCTTTGATGCGAAATATTTTGGCCTGGCCCCACGAGAAGTGAAATACATGGACCCGCAGCAACGTCTACTTCTTGAGACCGCGGAGCAGGTTATGGTCACTACATCAGGCAGTTTGGCCGAACGGGTCAGATCTGGACCTTCTGAGACAGGAGTCTTTGTCGTTTCCATGACCCGTGACTTTGGCGATCAGCTGTGCCTACACCAGGTGCAGCAAGGAAATCCAAGCGCTTTGATGTGTGTTTGTTCTTGTTTCGAATTATTTATATAGATGTTCTGTCAACCCAACTCCAGCTGCTCAATTTCTTGCAGCGCCAGGTGCCACACGACCAATATGCCGGTAGTGGAAATTGTCCAAGTGTTCTTGCAGGAAGAATTGCAGACCGCCTTAATCTGGAGGGGCCAGCGATGACATTGGCGACCGCGTGCTCTTCCTCCCTTGTAGCGTTGAACGTGGCTCGTTTGCATCTCCAGACACAATGCTCAACTGCGTTGGTAGGTGGTGTGAATTTGATGCTGGCTCCTGATGTGACGATCAACTGCTGCCAAGCCGAAATGCTCTCACGCTTTGGTCGCTGCCGGAGCTTTGATCAAGCTGCGGATGGCTACGTCCGTGGCGAGGGTTGTGGCATGTCCTTTCTCGGTGGTGACTCCGGCTTCCGAGTGCTGGGGTCTTATGTCAACCACGATGGCAAAGGACAAGGCTTGACAGTTCCGAATCCTGGTGCCCAGACGAAAGTGATTCATCAATCGATGCGCTGCGCGATGCTGGGGCCCATGGAGATTGACCTTCTGGAAGCACATGGGACTGGAACCTCTTTGGGTGACCCTGTGGAAGTTCGAGGCCTTCGCACCGTCTTCAAGGACAAGATGCCGAGCTTGCTACTGAGCGCCCTGGAGGTTGATTTGGAGGTAGTGAAGAAATGTGAATGTGGATTCATGTCCAACTGACCAGTCTTGAGCAAATGCTGCTAGTAGGGAATGTAAGGTCAATGCTGTTAATTGTGCTTTTGTGCCCAAGGTTTTAGCCCCTTGCCCTTTGCTGAGGCACAGCCAAAAGCACATTTGGTCACCTTGAGGCTGCAGCAGGAGCTTTGGGCCTGCACAAGGCCATTGCTTGCCTTGCGACGAATGCAGTGCCGAGAAACATTTGGCTTGAGACTTTGAACCCTTTGGTGGCAGAGCTTCAGGAGGGTTGGTTGCAGGTGGTGGCTGAAAGCACGCAAGCGTCTTTGTCACTATGTGGTGTAAGTAGCTTTGGCTTCAGTGGCACCAACGCCCATGCAATCGTGGCAGCATCAGTATCAGAGCTTCTACCCTCCAAACCATTCACTTTTCAACGGCGAGATCATCCATGGGCTTGGCCAGGTCGTTCGCCTCACATGTCAGCCGCAACCAGCGTAAGCAGAGCTCAGGAAGTTGCTTACTCGCTAGAATGGGAGATGAGTGTGCCTGAACAAGGCTCGCCCGACAAGCAGCACAAGAACCTCATTCTGAGCAATTGGGACGATCGGTTCATGCTGTCGCTTGAATCCGGAAATGTCCAGGCTTGCTGGAATTGCCCCGTCGGATTTCTGGATCATGATGGACACATTAAAGAAGTGCATCTTGACCAGCCCAAAAGCCTCCAGGTTCTTATCAGAGAAGAAGCTCACGGGGTAGCGCGGGTCATCATTTGTGCGCAGACGCACGTAGAACCGCTTCCAAAGCCAGACCTGTTGTCCTTGGCCTGCTGCTTGCACTTGTTGCAAGCGCTCATGGAAGCCAAAAAGGCCATTCCAGTGGTCGTAGTCACAGCAGCTGCTGCATTGGTCAGCAAGTCTCAAGACACAGTGAATTTGTCGCAAGCTCCTTTGTTGGGCTTTGTACGAGCTGCCGCAGTGGAGTATCCTGGACATCCTTTTCTTGTAGATGTTCCACTTGGAGAGCAGCTGGATTTGTCCAATTTGACATGGCAATGGCCATGGCAAGCTCTGCGGGATAGAACTTCACTCCACCAGGTGCTCGTGAAAGCCGCGAAGGAGTCTGCAGCTTTGGATGTGACGGGCAAGACCTTTGCGGTGAGTGGTGGCTTTGGCTCCCTGGGCTTCGAAGCCACTTGCTGGTTGGCCGAGCAAAAGGTGAAGCGTTTGCTGATCCTCAGCCGCTCTGCTGAGAACCATGAGGAGAAGTTGCAGCATCTGAGGAGCCAGTACCCTGACACTGAAGTCTTGGCAAGGAAATGCAACGTTACTCAGGAAGAAGAGGTTAGAGACTCGCTTCGCTTGCTGAATAGCTTGATCCATGGAATGGTGCACTGTGCAGGTTCGGCTACCCAAGTCGGGCTGCTAGGGACATTGAGGCAAGCTGATTTCAATAACTTGCAAGAATCTGGTGCGTATGGATCTTGGACTTTGCATGCAGTGACGGAGAAGTTCAACCTAGAGCATTTTGTGCTCTTCTCATCCTCTGCCTCAGTTCTGCCTATGGAAGGACAGTCGAGCTATGCAGCGCAGAATGCCTTTCTTGATCAGTTGGCGGAATTTCGTCGGCTTGGTGGCCAAGCTGCCTCAGTCATCAACTTTGGCCTTTGGGGTCAGGTTGGGATCGGAACTGACCAAGCCTTCAGGAAGAGGCTTACCCCTGGCATTGGAGTGTTGGACACAGTAGATGCCTTGGAAGTTCTAAAGCTTGCGATGAGAAGAGGGGTTCCTCGCCTCATTGCGATGCCTGTTGACTGGAAGGCTTTGATGCCGCATTTGGATTGGAGCGTGAAAGCTTTCGCCAGTAAGTTTGTCAAAGCCAAGATTGTGTTGCAGGAGTCTGCCCCAGGATTCTCATGCTCGCGCCCTTCCAAAGCTGACGCTAGTCAGATGATCCGCTCCGCAATTTCGAGGGTGCTAGAAACAGGTTTGAAAGATGTGGCTGATGATGAGGACTTGGACTCGCTGGGCTTTGATAGCCTCATGTTTGAGCAGTTGAGGAGGATCATCAACGAAGAGTTAGGTGAGCAAGTTGTGTCCGCCGCGTCGGTCCCTGAGCTGTGTTTTTGTTCAAAACGAGCCTTGCGATGAAGAGTGTCCGCGAACTTGACAGTTTTTCCCGGATGCGCCGGGAAGGGATTCTCGTGGATCCTTGGAGGTCTGGGGGTAGAGCTGTGTTCGCGTGACTGCGCCGCCCGCAAGTGACGGAATGTGATCGGTAAGGCCGCGGCGTTGGGGGAAGCTTTTGGAGGAGGTTTTGGATGGAAGCTTGAAGTGTCCGACTCCTGTGAAATAGCGTGCAGACGTGACATGCCCAAGTGTCCCAAGTGTATCTAAAGCTTGATTTCCTGTGCAGGTGCAGCGTTTTGTGAGGTGCCCACAAAGTATGGAAATCATTCCAAGCGTGTGTGGTGCAATTTCTGCTGAAGATGATGATGTGATGTATATTGACGTTTCATGGCAGGCGCAGCACTTCGTGCTTTTTGGAAGTGGCGAAGTTGAATTTTGTGGCAGGTGCCGGGGCTCGCTGTGCCATTGGGATTGGCGCGTCGGCGGCTGTGTTTTTGAAGGGCTGCGAAGCTGCTTGGCAGGGCTGCTTGATGTGCTCGCTGTGATTAGGCTTCCCGCTTGACTTTTGGAGGAAGGTTCCGCACCAGGTGCTCAACTGGAGAGTTGTCAGTCTAGCTTTTGGAGGGAAGTCTCATACGAAACGCTTGTTTTGGAGACTTGAGGCATGACTTTTGGAGGGAGAAGTCTTGACTTTTTTGGAGGGAAATCTTGTTGGAAACGCTTGTTTTGGAAGAGAAGTCTCGTGCGAAGTGGTTGGTTTGGAGACTTGACACGGACTTTGGAGGAAACCTCATATGACTGGAGACTTGACCCGCGACTTTTGGAGAAGGTTTCGCCCAAAAAGCTCGTGTCAGCTCCGGGATCGGAATTGGGAACTTTCTTGCTGAAAGTGGTGGGGGCTCCGGGCTTGGGACTGTGTAGTGCAGATGTTGTGGGAGATCCGTGTTCAGAGGTGGTATGCAGTGCAGCGAAATTACGGCCCTCATATCTGTGCCATGCGGGTTTGGCGCTGAAGAGTGACCTAGGAGAGTGTCTTACAAGAGCGACCCATAAGAGTGCTCCACAAAATTGTGCCACAAGACTGCGTGCCCTACAAGAGTGTCCTACTAGAGTTTCGTGCAAGAGAGTTCACAAGGCTGTGCCGCACCAGTGCCCGCAAAAGTGTCGCGTAAGAGTGTTGCGCAAGACTGTGCCGCAAGAGTGTCCCATAAGAGTGTCCGACAAAAGCTCCCCGAGTGTCTTACAAGAACACGAGAGTGGACCAGAGGAGTGTCCCAAAAGACTGTGCCACAAGAGTGTCCTACAAGAGTGTCCCACAAGAGTGTTCAGCAGAAGTGTCCCATAACAGCGTCCTACCCGGGCCTCGGTTTAAGTCGTATCAACTGGAGGAAAGTCGTATCAAAATGGCGCGCGCTTGGGGATTGACTTCTCTATGAATGTTTGTTGTCGTTGTCGTTGTCGTGGTCGTGGTCGTGGTCGTTGTCGTTGTCGTTGTCGAAGCCTCTTCCTAGCCAAGGGCACCTAGGATTGCCCTTCGATTCGCCGGTCGACCCTCGTGCATGGGCCGCTTCCTTTGGCAGCTGACGTTCTGGCGGCTTTGACCGCCCTGCTGCTGTGGGCTACACGCTGGCATCAGCCCCAGCTGCCTTGGACTGGCCTTTTGGCCCTTCGTGACCCGCATCCATTGGTCGCACTTGTGAACTGGACAATTGTTCCCTTCGTTGTTGTGCTAGGACCACCGTCCCAAGTCGGTGGGTTGCAGTATTCTAGAGATAGCTACCCAAGCCATTCGTTCTGCAACAGAGGTGAGGTTTGGGTGAGAGCCATGGCTCACCCTGAAGTGGACATCCTTGAGGCTGACACCAATCACACTTGTATGTCCACAAATCCACATGGCCCCAAGCCACCCAGTTGGGGAACCTTTAAACGGTTACGTCCCCATGAAAAGCGTAGCTACAAACGAGCTCGGCGTCGTGCGCTCCGGGATGGATACGTCTGGTACAAGGGCCAGTTGTTCGATCGTAAGCACTTTAACTGTGATCCATTGCCTGATGCTGTCACCACCTTGCCCAAGTCTTGTTCACCTTCAGTTCGTCCCCAGCGCGCTGCAAGGAATCGTTTGCACTTGATGGCCTGGAATGGAAGATAGATGAGTTGCGGGGTTGGCTGCATCTGCAGATGATCCAGGTGGTGGTGATCCTGGAGACCAGATGGCAATTTGATCGGGAGTGGGCTGAGGATGGATGGCATCACATTGCCAGCAGCGGTACCCCTTTCCGCTCTCATGATTCGTGCCACCCTTTGTTCCTCTGATCAAATTAGCTGGCGAACACCCATCCCTGGTAGACTCGTTCACATTCGACTCCATCTCAATAGACCGGTTGATATTGTTGGCTGTTATCAGCATACATTCGTGAATACCCGGCAATGCAAACACAACAGATGCTTGTGGACCAAGGCCCTGAACGACTTGTTAACCGATCTCCCCAGACGAAACACCCTCGTCGTTCCCGGTGATTGGAACTGCGGGTTGCCACAAACTCACCCACATGTTGGTAACTCGCACTTCCTTCACTCCAACGGTCGTATCACTGGCCCCATCGATGAGGACTTCAAATGCCACCTTGATTTGATCCAGATGCATGATCTTTGTGCCATTAATACCTGGCGTCATGACATAGGACCAACATGCCGTACGGCCAAGGGAGACATGTCATGCACTGATTTCATCTTCACTCGTCTTAGGCAGACTGATTGTGTGGCCTTGGAGTCGATGCCGATTGAATCTTTTGATCTTTTAGGACCCGCCAAGATTGGTCACAGACCCGTTGTTGGTTCGATCAACCTTTCATGGCGACCGGCATCAGGAACAGCGTTGCAGTGCATCACGTATCAAAGTAGAATCAACTGCCGTCAAATGCAGCAGGACGAAGCCAGCTGGACGCATTTCGTCGAATCCAATTCGACTCAGGCCAGATGGATTGCGCCCAGGAATTGTTGACCCACAACTATCAGCACAACTTTGCCACACGGCAGGCTCACAACCTTTTTTGGAAGCAAACGCATGGGTTGATGACTCAGAAGTGGGACCTTTTGCACAGAATCCGAACGCTTCACACTATCTCCCTCCGTAACTGTCTAGTTGCTTGGCGCCTTGTTGTCGAACATCAAAGATGTCATGCCTTGCAAAAACACCGATCACGTCAGGCCCGAACTGAACGGTTCGACCGGATGTTTGATGAGGCTCGAGAGGCAGCCAATCGACGTGACATGTTTGGATTGTTTGCTATTGTTCGTAAGCTCTCCCCCAAAGAGAACTTCTCAGTCCCATTGAAGCTTTCGTACGCCTGCAACATTTTGTCCGGACATCTTGGGACGGTCCACCTCTTCATTCACCGGTTGGGTTGGCCCCATGCGTGCCTTTCTCTGAGCAGGAACTGGCCGGGGCGTTTGCGCGGCTCAATGTCATGAAGAGCACCGCGCCAGGAACTTGCCCTAATGCTTGCTTAAAGGCTAGTGCCATTGAAGCTGCGTCTCAACTGTATCCCCTGTTGGAGACTTGGTGGTCTCAGAATCCTCCTTACGTCCCACAATCTTGGAGGATGGGTCCCGGTTCTTGTCGCCTAAGCCAGGTAAGAAGCCTGATACGGCTGCTCATCTCAGACCGCTTGCGCTTCAGATCCAATTGGAACCACCATCTTGGGCATTTTGACGGGTATTGCGCGAAACAGTGTTCTCTCTTCTCTTTGCGCCCAACCTCAGTTTGCATACCTTCCAAAACGAGGGACCTTTGAAGCCATCAGCCGTGCGGTGAATCATTGCAGGACCGTTCGAGAGACTCTCTTTCGGTTCCGTAGGCCGCAAGCTGCACTAGCCCACAACCAACAGGCTCCTGAGGTCTTCGGAGGTCTAACCATTAGTATTGACCTCAAGCGTGCGTTCGACAGTTTACCTCATCCGGGGCTGTTTCATGACCTTCGGGACCTTGGAGTGGATGAAGCTTGTACTTGCCTCCTCCAGGAATGGCATGTTGGCACTCGATACAGGGTTGAACATAAAGGTCATAGCAATCACGTAGATGTCAATCTTGGAGTTCGCCAAGGGTGCCGTGCCGCTCCATTTCTTTGGGCACGCAGTATGTCCAGACCTATGAGCAGGCTGGCGCAGCTCACGAGCGTGGAGTGGGTCCTCAAGGTATTGACCCTCTACGCAGATGACTTTCTGTTGCAATGTGAGGTCAACAATGAACAAGATCTTCGGGACCATTTACACTTTAGTGGCGTTCTTTTTGATTTATTGGACCAAGCTGGGTTGGTTATGAACCTTACCAAGACGGTGGCCCTGTTTCATCTCAGTGGCAAAAAATTTCGGAGTTTTTGCTGATTCCTCGAGCCTCAGGGAAAGCCACTAAGATACAACTGGTTGCTGACATCAAGTACCTGGGAGTTAAATTGAAGAAGTCTGATGAACCAGGCACTGGACAGCCCTCGAACAGTTCCCCACCAATGCGCAGACTCTTGGAGCTACCACACGTATGCGTCATTTGTGCAGATATCCTCCCATCCGTTGAGTCATTGCAAGAGCATATGCGGACCCATGACTCCTACCACTCAGTTCGTGATGCAACCATGGGACATCCGACCTGTGCGCGTTGCAAGACCATTTTCAAGGAAACGTGGGAGCTTCAGCGTCACATATCACGACACTCATGCCCGGTGTTTGATGCAGCATTGCAACCGGCAGGTGCTCAGTGTCATGACCCTGATCTTCAAGAAGCTGTTCGGGCAGGCCAGCTCATTGAACTTCTTCTGAACCCTCAACATCCAGAAGCGCGACTCAGGTTCACTCTTTCATGCTGCGTGTGTGGGTTGGAGCAAAGCAGAGTTGCCGATTTGACGCGACATTTGCAGACGCAACATGGTCCCTTCTATCGCGCAGCTGACAAGTATGTTGCCCTGATCGAGGAACAGCATCTGGATTGTGTCTGCAATCCACGTCGACCAGCTCAGCCACGAGCTCACCGCTGCATTGCGTGGAGGCAGTTGGCAATGATTGAGGTTTTCATCAATCCAGATCGTCGACCGTTCTTTCCAACATGGCCAAATACTGATGACTCCCTGGTCAAACTGGCACAAGTCAACCCACGACTGCATGCGCAGGCGCCCAAGCTGATCCAGGACCTGCGTGACAACCTGCCCATTCTCCTCTTGGAAGACGATGCCACATGTCAGGGGCTTGGACATCATTGTGCATTGTGCAATCGAAGTTATCAAGATCAGCGTGAACTCGTTCAACATATTGAACAGCAGCGCGCCACCGAATGTCAACAATGCACTGCACTCCTCCAATGCCTCTGGCTCACACCAGGGACCCGCTTCCTTGTTGTGCATGGAAGGAAGACAGCACTACCTACAATGTGGTTGATCACACATCATGGTATGCACTTCGTCACAAATGTGGTTCTGTTGAACTTAGCCCTGATCTATCTTCAGACTCGCCCTGATTTTGAGAGCCATGGCCGAGCGCAAACAGGAGGTGTCCGACGAGGACAAGATGTCCCAGATGCAGGAAGCGTTCAAGGTATGCTGGCAGGCGCACCGACTCCCAGCCGCCAGCCAGCATCAGCCAAGAAGATCAAAGTCCACCATCCGGACCAATCCACTCGACGTTCCTCGACGACAGCAGCTCCAGAGGACTCAGCGCAGTCGGGACAAGTCTCCCAACTATGTCGGATGCTGGCAATCCTGACCCTGAGACACGAGGATGCCCGCAATGCCCTAGCCTGTCAGGACCAATGCATCTTGTTCCTCACACAGGGTGCTCAAGGAGTGACGCATCTCCTCATTTAGGCAGCAAGATTGGTGAGGGCAAACGACACCCGTGAATCCTCTCAGGGTAGTCCTGATGCAGACTCTGCTCGAAGAGCTGATGAGGAGATTCAAAGGTTTTTGCACCAAGCTCTCGGATGCGGACTTCCGTCGACAGGGCATTCTCACCAAGAGCATTTTGGAGGACAACACGATCCCCTACCTCCAATGGTGTCATCAGCAGAAATGCCTGTCCCGTCACAGATGCAGGGCATCAGCGCGACCGAGATGGAGCAGATACTTCAACGCCTCCATGCAGCCCTCCAGGAACCGGCCAGTCTGATCAGGTTCTTTGCTCTCAAGAGCCAGGGAAACACTACAGGGGTTACACCATGGAAGACTCAGCTGGCCATGCGGAACGATCCGCTGATGTGCGAGATGAGATCCCTCATTGGTTCAGCTGTATGGATGCTGGTGACAGGTCGGGACTTTGCGTACTCCCGCCGGCCAGGGAACCGCCGGCATTGAGGGACCTCCTACGCGGTGCATTTTTGGGGGCGCAGCTGCAGAATGACAGCTGCTGGTGCTGGGCAAATGCAGGTTTGCTTTGTACCATTTGGGCTCTACTATGTCGCCAAACCTTTTCCCTTGAGGACTTTGGGGTTCAGATTCGCCCTGTTCGAGCTTTCCTTCACAGGCTTCAGACCATGCCGGGGACAAGTGTGGCCTTAGCCTTTCCTGATTCTCCTTCGACAGGCTGCATCGTCATGTATGCCACGAGATGTTGGTGAATTTGTTTCGGAGCTCGTCGCCTGGCTCGAATCTGAGGCAGTATCCATGACCTGGGAACGACGCTCTCTGGCTGGATCAAAAGTAGCGATCTGAAGCTGGTTCATGGCAATATCCCATCTCACATGAACTGGACATTCCTGCCCCCACGTTGACTCAGCTTCTTCAGCCATGGGTATATGCAGAATCCATGCACTCAGCCTTCCTTTCGATTGGAACTTGGAAGTGTATACACATTGATCGTGCCTTGATGTTCACTCCGCTCCTCGGCCACAACAATTTGCTGGAGCTTGAGGATACCCTGGACCTCCCGTTCTTTGAGAACAACAGGACTCATGACATTCACGCACTCCCTCAGGTCCAGTGTCAGGTGTGGTGCATCTTGGCATCCGAAACTCAGGCCACTTCATCACCTTTGTAAAGGCTTGGAATCCGCACTGCTGGTACGAGCTTGATGATGCCAAGCCAGCCAAGACACATCAGAGTCTTCCAGACTGGGCCAAGCGACGCCTAGGTCTTGATTTGGTTGTGCCCGGCTCCGTGTACGGCAGACTCGTCAGCTCCCATCACAACAGGTCTCCCTGTTGACGATACTGAGGATTCTGATGTCAGCGCCTTGGATGCCAATTGGCCCCTGAACGAAGAAGCCACTGATCAGCAACAACTTAATTCGCTGCTGTCGCGCATTGCGGCTGTGCTGGAGCCCTCTGCGCCGGCAGCCTCTAGGCCTGGCAGCGGAAATGCTCACCGCTGATGTGAGAGACTGCGCCGTAGCTTGTTTTCTCCTGTTTTCTCATGAGGTTGCCTGTGACTGACAGGTCACGGCTTTTACTTGGGTCTTGCACATTCTCAGCACACGTGCTGATTTTGAGTTCAATTTTGATGGAATAGCTGAATCTTAGTTGCTGAAGGATGCAACCAAGCCTTTTCAAGGCTGCGCTACAAAGCTCTCCCACGAGGAGTCCGCTGACAGGAACGTCAGTGAAGGCTGCGCTACCCTCTGGGCGCGTGAGAAGAAGAAGTTGTCGTTGTCGTTGTCGTTGTCGTTGTCGTGGTGGTGGTGGTGGTTGTGGTTGTGGTTGTGGTTGTGGTTGTGGTTGTGGTTGTGGTCGTGGTTGTGGTTGTGGTTGTTGTTGTTGTTGTTGTTGTTGTTGTTGTTGTTGTTGTTGTTGTTAAAATTACCTTGTTCTGTGAACTGATGTTCGCATGCGCTGTGCCCAGGGAGTGCTCGTGTGATAGATTCAACAAGCTTTGTCGCACCGGTGATCAACATCAGTCATAGTCTCTTGGTGCAAAAATATTGTTTAGCACCAGGTGTAAGTGGAACATTGTAGTGGGCATTGGATGTATATATCAGATTGTATTTGCTGTTGCTTTGGGAAGACGGAACATTGATTGAACATTGGGTGTGCTACGTGTACCAAAAACACCAGTGAAAAGGAAACACGCATCTCCCTGTCAGACACTTCTTTCCACCTGATGTGACTTCCTTCCAATGAGGTGTGCCATGCGGTGATGTGACTTTTCGCCATGTGACTTAGACCCTGCGCTTCTACAAGAGTGTCCCCGGAGAGTGTTGTACAAGAGTGTTCCACAAGAGTGGCCCACAAGGCTGCGCCACAAGAGTGTCCCCGAAAAGTGCCCCACGACAGTATCCCACGGGAGACTGTGCCACAAGAGTGCCCTACAAGAGTTTCCCACAAGAGTGTCCCAAAAGAGTGTTCCGCAAGACTGTGCCACAAGTGCCCACCAGAGTCTCCTAGGAGAGTGTCTTAGCAAGAGTGTCTTACAATAGTGTCCCACGTTCTACGGAAGTGTCCCACAAGAGTGTCCCACCAGAGCGTCCCAGGAGACTGTGCAACAACAGTGTCCCACAGGACTGTGCCACACGACTGTCCCGCAAGAGCGTCGGACAAGAGAGTTCCACAAGAGTGTGCCACAACACTGTCCCACAGGAGTATCCAACAATTTTTTTTCACGAGAGTGTCCCACAAAGACTGTGCCACAGGAGTGTCCCCGAAGAGTGTTCTACAAGCGTTCCCCACAAGAGTGTCAACCATTGTTTGGCCGGTTGCTTTCGAGTACGTGTGTGCTTTCGGGTTTGTGGCCTTTTTCATTCTCGTTGGGAACTTAGGTCGCTACTCCAACACAGGACCATCCGGGGATTGGCTGGGCAGATTGCAGGCAGGGCAATTCTTGAATACCCGCTCAAATAGCTCAGGTCCCACATGGGGTGTTTTGTTCGGGGCAAGAGCACCTGAATGAATTTTTGGTCTTAGTCTTGTGTAGGTCCAGTGTGTGAACATGCTGACGAGAATGGCGATGAAGGCTTGGGAGGGCTTGCTCCACTTGCGAGTGCGATAGTGATAGTGCTAGTGCCATTCAGTAATTTTCCTCAAGTGATGCTTTTCCACGAATGCCAGACGTTGTGGAGTATATGCAGCAACAACAGCGACTTCAGTCAGCACGCCTGAAGACCTTGCGCAAAGGACAGCTCATGTTTCGACAGCGCGGACAAACTTTGCTGTTGCATTCCAGGGTTGGCTTTATCAGTTGTGTGCACCTTGCTTTTGGAGACTGTCCAGGAATGGTTGTTTTTCAGCGCCTTTCAGGAAACCCAGAAGCGAAGTCTATGCCGCTGATCTTCATCCATACCATCATGGGCAACAGTTTCTTGTATCAATCTTTGGCAGGAGAGTTGCCTGAGTATCATATTGTGGCGATCGATGACCCCAACTTTGGGGATCCTGATCATCACTTCAAAACGCTGGAAAGCATGGCGTGGTGCTATGCCAGTCTCATCTTGGAGCAAAGCGAGATCTGTGAACCGTACCAGGCAGGGGTTTGTGAGAGTAGAGCCGTGCAGGAGTCAGTCTTATCATTCCAGTTCAGTTTTGCGGCTTGGGTTTCCGAGGTGGCAGGGCTTTCATTTGGAGGAGCTGTTGCCTTGGAAGTGTGCCAGCAACTGGTGCGCCGAGGTAAGAAAGCCACTGCCATCATGCTTGACACTGTTTGTCCCCAACCAGGCCATTTGAAGCTGCCGGATGCGACAGTGGTGCCAGAGAAGCACGTTATGGGCAAGCTTAGAGAAGACTTGGACCAATTCTACCAGATCGAGCTTCGTAACAATGAACGCATTCTGAACGACTACGATGCAAAGCAGCATGGACAGCAATGTGCGCCCATGTTGCGGGTGGTTTTGTTGAAAGCTCAAGGCCTCGATGGCACTAGTCGGGCGCTGAGGGGCTTGGAGGACCTACAAAATGGCTGGGGATGGCTGCATCCAGAGATGTACAGTGTGCCTGGGTCACATTTCACCATTTGTGAGCCTGGCTATGCAGAGCGGACATCTGCCGCGATCCGGTTCGTCCTGGGTGGAAAGCCAGTGAAATTGTCAAGTCTCTCTGACCTTTGGTTTCACGCAGTTCGTCACGGTGATAGCTTTCTGTACACCAGATTGCTGAAGCATCCAGAGTTTGCAGAGTGCTGGATCCATGATGAAGCAGCAGCTCACCACATGACTGCTCTCCAGATGGCAGCAGAAAATGATGACGTTTTCCTGGCAAAACTTCTATTGACCAAGGGTGCCCGGATGACTTCCAACGGCAAACATGCTGTAGATTCTGCTCTCAATGCAGCAAGCTTTCGGACCTTCAGCCTTCTGAGCCTTCTAAGCCAGCGTACGGAAAGCTCTACAGAGTTGGTGTTGGATGACTTTGGTGATAGAGAAAACAAAAAGCAATTGGAGATCTTCTCGAGGCCGGTTGGGGCTGCCGAGCGGAGAGGGCAACCTTGGCTGCGAACGCTCAAGGCCATGAATGCCTCAGGCGACTCGACTCGCCACCATGAGGGCCCAATGGGTGAGCAGCTACACTTGCTCCAGCAGTACAGTTGAGGTTGCTGCAAGTGTTGTAGCTAGTAAGCAGCTAGTAGCTAAACGCATGCTGATAGGCTTTCATCCGTTCATTTAGCCGGACAAATTGTACAGACAACGGTGCCCACACTGATGCGCAAGTTTCGCTCCAATGTGGGTGTGCGCTCTTATGAAAGGACGAGTGCGAATCAAACTCCGCGAAGAGTGCGCAGCGCATCCGCCAACCTTGTCGGCCCACGAGGTCGTCACAAGGCTTGTCGCTTTATGATTTGCCTGTCATTTTGAGAGACACGTTTATTCATAGTCAGGCGTTGACTTTCGCACTTGCTGGCATTGCGGTTGGTTGTTCTTGGCTCGGGGTTGGCCGGCCATGCTGTAGCCTGCTTGTTGGGTGAGGCGCTTCTTTTGATCAATTGCCGACAGTTCTAGGAAGATCGAACAAGCCTTGTTTGATGTTCAATGTGGAGTTCACTTATATCTTGTTTTTCGCGTGGAGGTGAATGTCTTGGGCGAAAAGTGGACGATTGCTCCGGCTGGCAGTCTTGGCAGGCAAATTGGGGGCTGGCAAGAGGTTCTTCAGCAACTTCCCTGTGTAGTAAAGTTGTCAAATCAGCATTCTAACTGAGTGACGTTGAGGCTTTGGAGCACTCCCAGGATTTCGCAGCATGGCAGTGGCACCTGAGAAGAGGCCGAAGCTGAGTCCAAAGTTGGACTCCAAAGTCTTCAGTGCATGGTACTGGGAGGTGAAGGAGCTGGCTGCTTTTCTCAGGGAGCAGGGCTTGCCGAGCAGTGGGCTGAAAGCTGACCTGACTCAAAGGGTGTCCGAATTCCTTCAAAAAGGGCGTGTGACCGAGAGACGTGCTGCACCAGGTGCGATCGGTCTTCGTGATAGTGCAATTCCAGGTGGATTGAAGTTGAACACGCCTGTGAAGAATTACAACAATGATGCCATCACTCGTACATTCTTTGAAAAGCATCTCGATGGCTTTCGCTTCAACGAGTACCTGCGCGGCTTTGCGAAGGGAATCCCTGAAGGCCAGAAGCTCACTTATGGGGACCTGGTTGAAGGTTGGAAAGAGGCCGAGAAAAAGAGAAGCCAAGGCAAGCAAGAGATTGGCAAACAATTCGAGTACAACCAATTTACGCGGGACTTCTTTACCGCCAATCCAGGGAGTTCTCGCAAGGAGATGATGGATGCTTGGAGGACAATTCGTGACTTGATCAAACACTGAATGTTAAATTTTTTTGAATGATGTCACCGTGTCACCTATACCGTATGTAGGTGAAGGTGCTTTAGCTTTATATAGTTTTATATAGTTGTATTTATAGTTTGTAATCCGTCGCTGTCTTTTGGATGCTTGTCACTCGACTGAGGCAATTGTGCGGGCCCCAATACATACAAGGAGTTCGCGCGACTGAAGAAGGGACCGCGCGGCTAGGCGAGGCGCGGTCCAGGAAGGGATCGCGTAGCTAGTAGCTGCTATTCGACGAACATAGGCGATCCTCGGAAGAAAAGAGTCGTTCCGAGGCTTGCGTGCACATCCAAGGACCTGCAACAACCAATCAGTCAAGATGTGACAGTCATTCATATGCTCAAGGAAGGTGCTTGCATTTCAGTTGGCTCAAGCCAAGTGTACTTTTCAGTAAGCGCAAGAAGATACTTGGTAAACACATGCTGTAGCAGCGCCACTGTTGCGGTAGAGTGCGAATCCAATATTCAACATGTGGTGCAAGGTGGACCAGACAAGAAACGGTTCCTGAAAATCAAGATGTGGTACCAATGTTAAGCTACATGACGAGATCTCTTTAACTATCAGCCAGCACCTGAAGATTTCTATCATGGCCATGCTGGTGCCATCAGCATTTGTGCAGGCATCTGAACATCGTGCAATCGAGAGATTCCTTCAGTGTCCACACCGCGATATCGATCGTGTCAACTAGGTAAGTCCGTTCAGGATGAGTTTCTGCTTCACAGCGCCATTGGCGGATTACAAATTCGATTGCTGTTACGTGCACATGATCGCACACCTGTCATGGACCAAATCTGTCAACTCGCATGACTTCCATCTTCTTCCCAGCTGTGTCGGTTCGCAGAAAGCCCGGGGCGGCCCGGCTCCACGCCGGACGGTCGCCGTTCGCCTGGCGTGGCCCCCATGAGCGCGGTGGTGGACTCGTGGGAGGAGTTGTGCCCCAAGAAGAAGGGGAGGCGCAACTGCGCAACCGAGTTCTTTTTGTTCCATGTCCAATGTTGGAAACGCATGCATCTGCATCCATGTGAAACCTCAAACTCTTGACTTTTGGAGGCAACTCACGTGGTGCTGAGTTGGGGGTGTTCCCACTTTGTATCCCTGATTAGGAAGCCCAAGAAGGAGGAGAAGCCGGTGGTCCATCAAGCCTCAGCACAACGTGTCCGCAAGAAGAAGCCTGAGATGGTTGCGCCAGCTGTGCACCCGCCGCCGCCACCGCAGCCTGTGGTAAACACTTCGCAGGTGCCCATGGTGTCCAGCTATGCGCAAGAAGCTCCATTTGAACCTCCCTATGCGCCGTTCCCTGCGAATTTTTACCATGGGGTTCAGTACCAGGTGTTCCAAGCCCCACAAGAGGAGATGAAAGAGACGAAGAAGGAGGTGAAGAAAGAGGGCAACAACGAACCCATCCCGCAGAAGACAGTGGGAGGCCGGATTTAGCTAGAATTTGAAGTATGTGCCTTGTAAGGTTGTGCTATACGGTCGTTTGTTCTTCAGTCTCCATGCAAGATCAAAAAAAATCTTAAACATGTTCGTTTTGTGTTTCAGTATGGTTAAAGTTACAAATCATACACACATCCTGGCTATAGGTCCAAAAGCAGAGCAATGGTCCCATTTGCAGTTGTTTGCCAGGCCACTTTCACGAGGACTGGGAGGAGTTGTGCGACTCTGACTTTGGCGGTCAAAGCACTGAGGTCCATTCTTTGGCCTCTTCAGTGCATTCCTCCCCAGCAGGACCCACACAGGCAGCAGCCCCAGTGAATGCGCCGCCTTGGCTGCTGTGCACCAGCACGCGCCGCCGTGGTAATCTGAAGTAGACCTGAAGAAGGGCGGATTGGGTCCAGGGCAGCTCAAGCTTGAAGAATAAAGTGAGATTGTAAAGGTTTGTAATTTTTTACAATCTTTGTGTTAAGTTAAGAGTGTTTTGGTAGAATTTCGGAGGACTGTGAACTGACGCGAGCCCGACCATGATTGGCATTGGCATTCGTGCTTGCATTTGAAATCGTGTAGCACTGAAGTATCTGCCAAAGACAGACTCCTTTAAGAAAGTTGCATGATGTCAGGATGAACGGGGAGGATCTGCGAGGATTTGCTGTCGTTATGTTGTCTCAAAAATGTGACGAAGTTTGACCAACTCTCGAGTCCTCCCTGATATCCTTCAGGTGTTGCATATCAAGAGGGTCATGGATTTAAACCCGTTTCCTTCATATGCGATCAGTCGGTATCTTCGGATCACCGAGTTCCATGACATCTTGGCTATTGTTCAAAGCTTTCCTGACTGCGGGGAAGCCATCCACAAAGACGCTGCGACATTTTTTTCACTGTTCAAAGCGGATTCTGCTCTTCCAAGCGACTTTGACCATTTACAGTTTATATGTCCCTTTTCGAACAGATGGGTACCCGTGCAGTCTTCGGCCGATGAATTCACAGACATGCCTCCCTTGGGTCCTTGAGGTCCTATGGTCTTTGTGGTCTTTGTGGTCTTTGGTCTTGGGGTCCAGGGAGCTGTACAGAAGAGGGCGGCCGTCCTATTGGCCGGATGAGGAGATCTTCCTTACCGGCCCTGGTTTCAGAGTGGAAGAAAAGACCGAGAGATGTGAGGCCATGAGAGCGTTGAGAGCATTGAGGAACGGAGTTGGAGGCTTGAGGCAAAAATACTATGGCCAAGGGGCAGGAAAGGTTCGAGGCCCTTTGCTCATTGCTAACACCTGGCAGGTAGACGATTGGGAAGTGAGTGGGACTGGCCAAAAGACGCAATGCTGCGTTCCTTTTGACTGGGACGTTTAGAACCAAAGAGAAGTGCTTGGGCATTGAAGAATTGTGGAATTGGAGACCCACTCCGAATCGCTCAGAGCAGGACATCCTTCACTTCCATAAAGCGTATCTTTGGTCGAGCTTTGTGGAACTTGCAGTGTGACACCCATGGGCTATGCAGGGTCTCGTAAAACCTCCCTCTTCGACCTTCACGAACTCTGCTGGACAGAAAGGGAATCTTTTCGTTATGCTGACAGCCCATCCTGACACCTGTGTCTTGGAAGAAGGATCTTTTCTAAAGATCCAAGTGTTCTCACCACTGAACACCTGACATTTGTTTGAATATTCTTTAGCCTTTGATGATGGGTTTGGCTCACATTCCTGCCGAGTCAACAATCTTTGTGCTAGACATGACATTGACGCATGCTTGAGGGGAAACATATGACGCGCCACATGCTTCGACCTTGGAACATGTGACAGCTTAGCAGGCTGCAGAGACGAGATGTCAAGCAGCCCGTCACTGGGTTTCATGAAAGTTCTGCACCACCCAGTACCGCCTTTCTCTGTAGCAAGCCAAACGAAGCTCACTGCGTGACATGCTGGCATAACTGCTCTAATAAGCTACAGGGTACCGCATCGGAAAAGCAAAGGAGGAACCATTATATACGTCTATCCAAAGACTATGCCATGCCGTCGTCTGACAAGAAGTCGGCCAAGGAGCGAGTGCTGGGTAGAACCTCAAACATGTTGACCAAAACAGAACCTGGGATTGGAGGAACACTCTGGAAAAGGAACAATTTGAGAGGTTCTTTGGGGTCATCATATTTCCTAAACTATTGGTTATCGGAGTCTGTGAGCAAGACAAGGACCGAGCGGGATTTGATGTAGGATGCCAGATGCTTAGTGTAGGAGCTTTTGCGAGCAATTATATACTTTGGTGTGTAAAGCAAAGCAGATCATGCCCACAAGGTCTTCTTATGTCTTCTTCATTTCTATGATTTGACTCATGGACTAAACAGCCAGTAGAGGACTGGACCCCGGATTTGCTGTCGTCTGGCCAGGATGAAACGCAGCAGTCCTTCTTTGAGGTGCTTCTGGATGCGAAATGTGGGCTTGTACCAGTCACGCCTATATACTTGGGCCTCATCTCTTACTGAGAATGGTCCGCACTTCCTGAGTGCCTCTTTTGGGCTTGCAACATCCTGACATCTTACCAAAAAATCACCCCCAAATCGGCAAAACCTCCACACCCCTGCCATTTCAAGAGGTTCAGAACCCTTGCCGCCTATTCTGCTTAGAACGCCTGTTCTTCTCCGACTTGTGGGCCTGTTACCCCTCCGGGCAACGACTCAGTCGCTTTATGCTGCCTTGGATGCTGATGCGAACGAGATAGCAGATGGTTGGCATCTTAGAATAGCTGAAGCTGGAGGAAGAGCCAAGGGGAGCGAACCACTTAGCAACTCTGGAGAGTCAACCCTTTAGCAAGGTGATGCTTGCATGGTTGCATACGACTAGCACAAGAGTATCGACTCTGTCTCCAGACAAACAACAGGTGGAGGAACAGCATCTTTCAAACCAGCTCTGGTAGTTTCCAGCAGTTTCCACGTCGGTTCTTGAAAGGGTACATGACCTGGTGCGTAAGTTCAGATCACAAATCCACTTCTCTTATTTTCTTTGGTTGCTTGGAGCAGCACACCTGCAGCGAGGCTTGTTCCTGGGAGCCGCCAAGGCGGCGATGCTGCGATTGTTGGCGAGCTCTCATTTCTGAAGTGAGGGCTTGATTGTTTTGGGCGTATCCCGTCCTGAATTGAGGGTCTTTTGGATTGATTTGTGAAGAAAGAAGTTACACTCTATAGAGACAGAACTGCTGTAACATATTGATCAGGATCTCGGTCGAAGAGGTGACATAGCACCTCCCAAATTTCGCCAGTCACAGCACAGCTCGGTGGTTTCTGGCTCTCCACGCCCATCGAGGCGGCCTCGGATAAAGCCGCCATGAAGAAGCGCAAGATCTCGCATGCGGGGGGGACCTGGCTCCGAACGGGTCAGTTCGGTCAAAACAGGTCCAGGCGACCTTGCACACAGGTCATGAAGCGAAAGGCTAGAACACCAGTCCACCAGGAACAGCACACAGGTCAATTGAACACCAAGTCCAAGTCACTTAAAACCAGTCTTGCTGCATTCCAAGACTCACCACAGTGCTGCACATTTTGGTGACTTCTACTTCTCCTGCTCTCGTTGCGTTTGTGGGCGAGGTGCTCATTGCCCATCCAAACTTCCCTGAGAAGCATCCCAATCACTTTAGGCAACGGGTGTTGTGCCTTGTGGTCGCTTGCATTGGTCGTGGCACGCAAGATCTCCAAAACACAGATCTATTATGGTGTTACTGCTTTAGATGGTATTTATATATGTTTACACTTTACACTATATTCATTATTCATCCTTATTGACGACGATGGCCCAGACGTGGCCCACTATGATGATGCACAGACACAACCCTAAGGAGTCTAATTGGTGAAACCTACCGAGCCATGTCTTGAGATTGGCACATTGGACAGACCATGTTGTTTTTGCTATCCAAGCATGTGCACACTGCTTTCTATAGTGACAGGTATGGAAGAGCACCGCTTGTTGACATTCCCAACTTCAACTTGTCACCGACTGAGCTGCTCTTGATTGCACCTTTCTGAGGCTGAAACAACTACACTAGCTCCTAGAAGTGCATGGATCACACAAGCTGCTGCTGGACATTGATGACTCAAATGATCATGAAGCAGCGGTTTCTCACAGGGCTTTCCCTTTTCGTACGGTTCCTAAGGGCGTGCAAACCTCTTTCTGATTCAAAGCAATGGAACATGCAGCCAAACCTCCATGGTGCCCAGTTCTGCTGTAAGGTTGGAGCTGATTCCTGACGCCTTGGCGTTCTTTCGAGAGGATGGGGAGCCCTTGGCGTTCGTTCCGACGGTACATGCGCAGTGCCTAAGGCTTACCATTTGGGGTGGAAAAACCAGGGAAGACTGGCAGAGAGGGACCATCTGGCGAGGCTCTGTTCATTTGGATTGTCCTTTGTCCATGTTTGCCACATTGGTGAAGGCTGGGCTCGCAGATCTGGGATCTCAGCAGGCGCACATTTTCCGCTCTCGCCCTCTGTTTCGCCATGGCTTCTCTTCGCGTGCTTGGCAGGAGAGCATGGCTTGGGAACATGGGTGTGTGCTTTGACTTGGGTCACCCGCAGCTTCGCTGACTTTGGCAGTTGCCCGCGCAGAAAGGGGCCGAATCTGTTGATTAGATGCTTGTCATCTTCCCAATATGTCCCAATCCAGGCTCATAGAGTACAGTTCTCCACAAGCGCCTCGCAACAGAAGGTGCTGCCTGCCTGCAACCAGCCATTCAAATCCAACCTGAAGTGGTTGCCGAGACACCCTTAGACTGCACTCGTTTCGACCAGATCACACATCCCTATCAAACCAGGGCTTTTTCCCCGCACCTCTGGCCCTTCAGAACATAGGCCACATAGGCCCTTCTACCAGCGCTTCCTTCTTGGGGCGATTTCGGACGTCGCGGTAGCAGGACCTTCCACCGGGCCGCGGGCAGCTTTGCTCGCCCCGCGGCTGCAGCGTTCAGCAGCTCCGCGCAGTTCAAGGCGCCGCGGGACGGGACTCAATGCGGAGCTGCCACGGGACTCGATACACGGAGAAGTCAGTGGGGTGTCAGCCGCCATGGGCTGCGACGTGGGACAATCCATGCTGGAAGTTTCGCGCACTCTTGGCCTGGGGGACATTTTGCCCCAGTTTTGGGACATCAATCCCATCGTGAAACTTGGTGGTGGACTTTTCTTTAACCGAAAAGCTCACCTTTGAGGTCTGCATCAATGGAGGTGCTGGAGGGATTGGCCAGCCTCTCACCATGCTGATGGCGATGAATGAGACGGTGAAGGAGGCCGTGCTCCGTGGTCGTCGTCGTTCTGGGTCGGACGTTTGGAAGGGCGAGACTGGTTTCGATGAGAAGCCTCACATTCTGTGTCACAGGTCTCCCTGTAGTTGGTCAATCATACTGGAGGTCATCAGGAAAAGCAATGGATTCACGGATGAGACCACAGGTTTGTTTAGACAGTTTCCATACACTCAAATTGAGTTCTGTTAGTGACATGATCCTTGATTAAACTATGCAATCGGCCTCAGAATCGGCCTCTGCCATCGGGTCTGCGATCGGCTCACTTTGTTCACCTGAACGTGTCCAGGTCTCTGTGCAGGACGTCACCATGGCTGCAGTCGCCTCCTCGGTGTCAACACGGCCGGAGAGCACCGCGCCGCGCCGCGCCCAAGCGTCTCTGAGGTGCCTCCCTCTGGAGTCGCGGCCGATCTGGGACACCTGGAGTTTCCGAGCAAGGCTCCCAACCGAGTTTTGGGGCGTCCTCCTTGTTTGGTAAACTGATGATGGTAGACCGGAAGAGGTGATGAATGATGGCCGAAGGATCTCATATGCCAGTTCCTGCTGTGCGCTGTAGCATTTTTCTGGGTGGATTCCACGCTGTAGCCGTCCAAGCTGCTTGACACGTTAACCTGCATGAGTCCACAAGCATCAGAGCACAGCTGACATACTTACATGACAGGCACCGTGATCCTCTAAAAAGTCGCTTCTACAGGATTTGACATATAGAAGCAACATGAAGTAGCATGGTCCAGGGCTAGCAAAGTACACAAAAGACACCAACACAACCACAACGATACCTTCGTTGTCTCTAGCCGAGCCCTGCACCTCCGCCAACTCTAGCGACTCCATGCAGCCGAGCCCGCTGCGGCGTCTTCAGCGGAGCCGCTGCGTGGGGCGCACGGCGCGGGAGATCCTACAGACCGAGAAGCTCGAGCGAGTCCTGCTGCCCTTGGCGCGGGACCGCGTCTACGGCGGCCAAGGGCTTCGGCGGCCGCCGCGGGAGAACACGCTGGCCGGGACGGACAGGGAGAAAAGGGAGGAGTCAATGACAGTCTGACAGCACGGTGCGGTGCCTTTTTGCTTTTTCCCTTTCAGACTTATGTAGAAGGTATTCACAGTGCTTTGGAGCTGGAAGAAGCCAGCAAGCTCAAAGCGGCAGTGGTAGAGAAGTGCTGCACTTGTTCAATTGGGACCACCTAAAATGAACTTCATGCAAAGTTAGTTCTTTCAGAAGCTGGGTTCTTTGAAAAAATGTTGAATCCCAAAACCCTTGTTGGCTGCCACACACCTCTTTTGCTTTTGTCCAGCGCTTCCCAAGTCAAATCCAGCTCAGACTTCCACTTCTATGAATCCATTCTTCTCGGCCGCCGTTTTGGACCAAAAAACATCCCCACTTGGAGATGTGTATTTGGAGTACTGACCTTTGGTTTTCCCCGATCTCTCAAACCATTCTACTGTCCAATCTTTATGACGTTCTGTCCTGACTAGATTATTCTTCACGGCTCGTTCTTTCGCAACTACAGTCTTTGCAGCTGCTGGCTTACGCATATGCGGCTTGGCTGGAGCTTTGCTCGCAGGCTTTGTTTTCTCCTTAAACTCCTCCTCACCATTTGCTGGCTCCCCATAAGGTTGGGTGTCCTCGTCCTCGTAAGGTTGCTCGCTTTTTGGCTTTCCAGCCAACCCCTCCACAGGAAGGTTGGGCGCCCTCCTGCTCCTACTGTTGAAGCGACCTCTTCCGGCTGGCTTCTTGAAAGGCACACTATCACTACCGCTGCCAGTGTTGGCCTTCTTGGTTGGAGAAACTCCTGCCCCTTCGCGTTTGCGCTTCTCACCACCTGCAGCAAAGAGGAAACTCCCCGAAGTGCTGCGCGCAAAAAGAACAGCAAAACCAAGTTGAGCGACAATAGTTGAACAAATACACTCTACATAATTGTTACTTGTTCAATACAGTTCATAGTTCCGTGTCGTCATCATCATCATCATCATCATCATCACTGCGGTCATCCTCACTGCGATCGTCGTCATCAACATCACAACCATCACAACCATCACTCATCATCACCACTACCACGATGATCACAACCAATTAGGCATCATCATGAGATATCATGAGCATGAAATATGCAAAGACAAGAATATCAGGAGAAGGTAAGCAAGTATGGAGCTGAGGAGGACCACGGTCAGACCTCAAGATCAGTCGCATTTCCCCTTGGTTCGCGGAATACCCCCACATCCCTTTTCCTAGAACTGTTTATCTTGCAAACAAAAGTATAAATTATAATGGGACTACTGAGACTCAATGTCCACCAGACTTCCAACCTGAACCACGTCCATCAATGCTGCTGCCACGCCCAGCGCGACCACCACGACCACGGCCTCTGGCCCTGCCCCGGCCACGAGCACGTGGAGTCTCAGTCTCGGGAAAGGGCTCAGGTGATTGAAGGAGTTGTGGATGGGAGGATGAGCTGGCTGATGACATCCGCCTGGGAGTACTCGTTGATGATGCCCGTCTTTTGGCTGAAGGATCTATCAAGCTATTGAGGATAATGGACTGAACATCTACCGGAGGAGGATTCCACATTGAATGGAAACCAAACTAAGCTTTCCACCTGGACTTGCACCTAAATGCAACGGAGTTTGTTGTGAACAACCAAACTTTGCTGCTGCAAAACTTGAAGCAGCTGGCGACTGGTGATACCTTATACCGTTAAAGCCTTCTTCTACTATCACAACTGACAACTCACTACCGCTATTGTAAGCTCAGGAAAAGAACCCAACCCAACGCAGGATGCAGAAATCCATCTAGCTACAGCTCTTCCAAGAATATTCGCAAGGGGAAAGTCAACTATTTTGCAACATCGCGGCTTGAGCTGCATGCAAGCCTTCTTCACAACGTGGCCTCTTCTGATTGTCAAACAAGCAACATGTCAGCTTCTACAATGGAGAAAAGCCAAGACCACGTTTGATCCCCAGGTCACTAAGGCCCTGGCAGCAGCAAGCTGCTCTTATCGGCAATGGCCCAGTGATGCAAGACTTTGCACCCGGCTGCCCTTTTTCTGCAGAAGTTTGCTCATTGTAACCAAAAGGGTGACCGAGTGTAGAAGGAACATCCGGGTGCGGGCTGGCCAGGTGCAACCAAACAAGGTTTGTCAGGCAGCCGGGAGCATGGCAAAATAGTCAGCAAGCATTGGGTAAGAAGCGAAACAAACCATTGTCAAAGTGGAACACTCCAGGTCAAAATCAATTTCATCATTCAATCATCAACTTACCTGGCATTATTCTAAGCACTATTGTCATCCTTGTGCAGTGCTAGTTTCACAGGCTTGCTACTTTCATTGGCTTGCCATGCTCCAAACACAGGGCAACCAAAGTAACAACATATGGTCGCTGGACTTTGAATGTGCCGCCGATGCGCTCATACCTAAAGCGAAAGCACTTGCCTATGGTAGTGCCAGTGCTGGTTGATTTCAAACATTGAGCAAAGACATTTTTACATGTTGTCTTGGGCCCCTCGGAAGAAGCTCTTGGGTCAGACAGGCACTTGAATTTCATTGGTGTCTTGACTGAGATGTCAAACCCGTCTGTCCCTGCTTCAACTTGATCCTTACGTTGTACTTTGAGCCATGTCACTGTATGAGTGGTCATGTTGTGCTCCCGCTCTGCAAGCAGAAGCATCTTGTACATCGTCATGGTGGAAACTCCACTGCCTTCAGCCCGAAAGGAACTCATATCCAACTGCACGGTTGTGGAATCTGAAGTCACGTTGAAGTCGACTCCTTCACCTGCATCGCTGGAAGCCACATATTGCCCGGTTCCATAGCCGCCCAGCAGACTGTACTTGGGCACATGCTTCTTCTCTTTGGTGCTCAATAGCCAAATCGAGGCATCTTTTGCAACAAGGATGTTGATGCCAGCAACTTCACTGACCACCTCTGCTTGTACACCATACTGGCTTTTGAGAGCATCCAAACTATCCAAGACTTCGCAGGTCGCTCCACTGTTTGTGGATGGCTCTGCAGTCTCTGCAGCCGCTTCCTCCCTCTCTTGTCTGGCTGATGGTCCGAGCCCAAGACGTTGCACACTCAGAATCTCTTCATGCTCGGCCCGGAGAGACTCGTAGCTCTCTGCAAATTTGCCTCCTTGGCTGGTCCAGTAGCGGTGTTCGTCACTTTTGATCTGAAAGCGGTCGCCCACTCGCTCAAGAACCGTGAACTCAACAGCATCCAAGCCTGAGAGCCTGGTGCGTGCACCTGGGATGGCATTGATCTCACAATCCGTCAGCTCTGGAACCTCGTTGGTATATTTCTGGCCAGCATGACTGAACTTTTGCTGGATCCAGGCATCGGCCACCTCTCGAAGGAGGCGGGCTCCCCCAAAGGTGTCTTGGGAGAGCCAGGTCACCGACAGGTAGAACAGGTTCTTTGTCTCAAATCCTCCCTTCAGCCGCTCATCGGCAAGGCGCAAAGCAAAAGCCTTGGATAAACAGAAATGGCAGCCCTTTGTCAGTCACCAAATATGACGTTTTAGAATCGATCACTTAGTCAATCAACAAAAATCTGCCTACAGGCTTACAGGCGGTGTTCTGTTTTCCCAACCGATCCCAACCCAAATAACCAGAACAACAACACAAAGCAGAAAAGGAGGCACTGTGACTGCTTTGAGTCCCACTACCCTCCAATACCCAACTTCTCTGCTGCATTTGCTGCAACAACATAGAGGAAATATGGCGGCGGGTTGTTGGGCTGACCATTTCGTTTCCTCATGCCCTCACCCCCTGGCAAAGTATTCCGGCATTGTTTAGGTGCTACAAATTGGTAAAAATCAATTAGTGAAGCTTCCAAAGCCTCAATCTGGGCAAGTGAATTACTGGCATGAATACAGCGCATCTCAGAAAAGTTTGCCTCAAAGTAGAAAACAGCACGCCGCTCCAGACATTGAGAGATGCCAATCTTGAATACTGCCAGTTGGTCGCCTCCGTGTTTCTGACGAATCTTTTGAACTTGGTCCTGGCGATTACAAGGGGAAACACAGTTTATGACCCAGTGGCATGCAAAAGGGGCTTTCCGCCTTGCATGCGCATGTCGTGTGACTTTGAACCAGCACCCCTGTCCTTACAATGTCTCAAAATCTTCCCGGCAGTTGTAGACGGTGGACATGTTGAAATAGTAACACCCATCCGAAGGGGTCCTTCTCTCCACAGGCTATCTAGTGGTGCACGCGGGTTCATGTCATAAATAGCCAAATCAGTGTTGACCACCGAAATTCCATCCCTTCCTTCCTGTCGCTGTGGCTGTATCGCTGCCGTGTCAATCTCATCGTCGCTCCAAGGTAAAATGTCCACAGCTTTCTGAAAGAAAGACTCTGGGCCACACAGCATCACCGTCACCCGAAGCAAAAAGTACTGCAGGTACAGAACTGGCTACAGAGCTACCCCAAGCATAGCCCTACATAAGCCT